TGATCTATTCTCGTTAAGATCTTTTTCTACTCTACATTTCATTTCTAAAATCAAAAATCAGCTTTTTTACTGTTCACGAGAAGGGCAGCAATAAGCTAACAGCATGAACATTGTTTTAACTCAAAAGTGATGAATCCAGCTAGAGAATTTCGCTTTTGAGTCTCATGTGAAAAATTCACCAGTAATAAATTACTTTTGAGATGAGTCTTATCTCACTAGTACGACCAAAACAGATCTAAAAAAGTCTTTTCTATGATTTTGTTTTCTTCTTAAACTATGGCTATTTTCGGGAACTTTTCCAGAAAACACTATGTTTCATCTAAGATCGGTTTTCGAGTATAAATTGTGCAAAAAATAAAATTGTTAATCGAACTAAATCATTATGAAACTCATAGATTTAGTATTTTCTGTCCTCGGATATTAATATTGAAAATTCCGTTATTTAACAAAACACACATTAGTCTTATACTTGTATTTCACGAAAGAAGATATTAGAAAGTCTAACACTTTCACAATGAATTAGTTCGATTATGACCTTTATTTTAAGTAAAGTTTGAACTCAAAAGTTGATCTGAGAGCTAACACAGCATTCTGTTGAAAAACTCATTAATATGATAGTACCTTTTCTAAACAGTTTAGTATAATTAAGAGTGAAATAGCCAAACCAGAGTTGTCACCTTTAGACATGATAACAATTGATTAAATATGAATTCCAAAATTGAATTTGTAATCAATGTATCGAGAATCAAGTTCTTAGTTACTTCGAAGCATCTGTTAAAATTGTTTTTACCAAACATGCTTTTTTTCTGTATGAAATCTTCAGTGTTGATGGTTTGGATTAATGTTTTTTCTATAGAATTCGTTTTTTCTTTTGCTATCATCACTAGGTATGCGACAGTTGATAGCTGAATGATTTGGAAGAGCTGAATAAAATTACTGGTCATTTTTTGTTTTCTTAAAAGCTAGATTATGAAATATTCTGTTTATCATAACTAATTGGTTTGTGAGGGCTCTATTTTAAGTTATGTGAACTGAGTCGGACACATGAGATAAAATAGGACTATGATAAATACATTCAAAAGAATAGAAATCCAAGATCACATAAAATTAACAGGTTATCAGCTCCACTTATGTGAAAAGCGGTAAATGATCGACACTAATTTAGTTCGTCGACATGGAGCTGCAACACACTTATCGATACACAATTAGATAAAGATTTCTTAATTTAAGAAATTATCTTTTTCTACGTAGTTATATCTTCTGAAGTGAAAAAGCTCTGTTGTCTAACATATGTATATATGTATTTAATTTTAGTTATCAAGTTTAATAAAAAAAGCTGAAAAAAATGATGTTGATTTTCGTGAAATGAAATTAAACTATGAAAATGTTTTTACTGAACAAGTTAATCATATAAAAAAACTTGTTAAAGAACGTGAAGTATTACATTTATATATTCAAAGACTTGAAGTCGAAAATTCTTCACTTGCAGCAAGAACAAATGATGATGAAACAATTAAATTATTAACTTATTCATCACAATCACCAACATCATATGAAGTAAATAAACAAGAATTTATTATGAAAAACAAAAATCTTTTTCGTTTAGGAAGCTTGCACTTTAATTATTCAATTGCGTGAACAAATAATTGAACAAATTAAAATTCGAGATAAACTTCGACATGATATTGAACAATTAGAGCATAATTATAATGCTGATATACGTCAACGAGAACAAATTGAACAATTAATTAATAGAGATTTAACTGCAGCTAAGGATGAAATCGGTAAAAGAAAATATTTATCATCATATTTATAATTTTCGTTCCACTGTTGTTTTTTTCTTGAATAGTTGTTCTACAAAGTGTTCGAAGTGAATATGAACATCTATTAAATTTAACAAATGATCGTGAAAGACAATTAGAAGAATGTACAAATGAATTAACAACAACAAAAACAGTAGTTCATTCAATAACTAATAGATTTAAAGAAAAAATTGAAGAAATTAGTTCTGAAAAGGTCAACAAAAAAAAGACACAGAATTTTGAGTTGATTAAAAGAGAAAAATTCGTTTATTTTTCTCTTATCTAGGAAAAACTCAATGAAGAAAATGTTGGATTACGTATTCAAATACAAAAATTAAAAATTGATTTTGAAAATAGTGAATCTGTTCAACATGATTTTGTTAAACTTTCTCAAGCACTTCAAGTATGTTAGTAAGTTTAAGATAAAATTCTTTTATTTTAAAATTTTTCTTTCAAGGTTCAATTAGAAGAAATTCGAAATTCCGAAAATGAATTACGTTGGCAACCTGAAGAAGATTTTTCTGACTGTCAACGATGTCATACACAATTTTCGGTTACTTGGAGAAAACATCATTGTCGTAAGTTATGATTTACTTTAGAAAATAATTATATTATTTTGCATTTTGTTTAACCTTTTTGTTTAGGTCATTGTGGTAAGTTTTGATTAATGTAATATAATTGAATGTATATTTTTTTTTTCTTAAGGTAAAGTTTTATGTAAAGAATGTACTAACAAAACTGTTTATACTGGTCCAAATAATCGACCATCTCGTGTATGTGATGTATGTTATACATTACTTGTCAAAAGTTCTCAACCATATTTTTTTACTGGTGTACCCCAAGTTTAACCTGGACAACAAACGCTTTAATTCATGATTTTTTTCAAACATATTTAGTGATTGTATTTTCATTTATTTTTTATTCGCTTCTTCATAGAAAAATATAACTTGAAAACAAATTACTGTTGAATATGAAATGCTCTAACTTGAGTAGACATTAGAGCTTTAAACTTTGCTATGATAATGATAACAAAAAATTCTAATAGTTTAATTTTCAGGAATACTCATTATAATAATTATTTCAACGTTTATTGTTTTCTAAAAGCCATCATCAGACATATTAAGAAATGACCTACAAAGTAAATTTTATATATAGTTTTTCTTTTTTTTTCTTAACTTTGAATAAAGCAAAATAGAATACCCACACTCATATCCCATGAAAAATGAAAATTGTCAATATTTATGCTAAACAATTACAATCCACAGACTTTCAGAATAATCTTACTACTGATGCCTGCGCCAGTTGCTATGGCTTACGGAAGAGGAATTTACTAAAATTTGTTATAGAGACCTGGGAAAGCCGCAAATTCTCGATTTAAACTCATGCTCACTATTTTCTTCAACAATATGTGAGTTCGACAAAAACTTTTCCATGATCAAAAGAAATCAATCTCAAAATTTTGAAGAATCTTTTAATCCTTGAATCTCTTCACTACGATTACCTATGATCAAACTTTAAAAATTACACCAATGCACGCAAAGATGTGATTAGAGACCTGATGCAAATATACAGACTTGTTTTATTTCATATGACCCTTCTTTCAATTGAGGAAATAATTATTTGAGGGATATTTTATTTGATAATATTGGCGAGATCTACCTGTACAAGGCCTAAATATTGAGAGTTCATATGTCAATGTGTCGTTAGAAAAAATTTTACATCAAGAAAAAGTGTGAACAAATCGAACATTCTACGAAATGATTTCAGTGAATACTTTTGTAGTTCGCAGACAACGATGATTATTTTCATCGGACAAATTATGTTTTTTTATAAACATTCAATAATGCATCTTTTGAAAAGAAGTTCAAGTTTCAACAACAAAAAGTCGTTCAGATATCAACAGAATGCAAAAAGTGCCATTTTTTAATTCTTGATGTGTTACCCTATTAAACTAAATGAAGCAGCTTAGACATTAGAGAGGAATCAGGATTGAGAAAGACGTTTTGTACTGACTTTTTTTGGATCCAAAAACACTTTCTGATATCATTCGTCTCAAGAAAATTTCCATTACTGAAATCGATTTGTATCTAAATATAGCTGAATAGAAAAAGCGCAGAAATGAATGATGTTCGGAGATAGTTTTATAAATAGAAATATTCTTACATGATAAATGACTAAGTTTGATATAAATATGAATGCAAACTGTGACTAGTTTACAGAAAGAAAATTAATTGTTACTATAAATAGTGAAGTAATTTTTTGCCTAATTAACATGAATAATTTATATACACATAATTTTTAAAAAATGTAGTATTCTGCAATCATATATAAATGACGACTATGCTTTTTCTTTTCTCTTCCTGAAAGAGTTGTCAGGTGTGTTCTCTTGTTGGTTTGTTTATATATTTATATTTGCTGTTTTTAATATAAGAAACAAAGAGCTGCCTGACCAAACGTGCTCACAGTTGCATAGAAGAAATCGCAAGTAGTGGAATACGAAATTTTTTTTCTTAGGACAACTCCAGGCATCATCTTCTCTCATAGTTGACACAATAGTTTTTACGTTATTTATCTGCAAAACCGCGTCAATAATGATCTTATCATGTCGATTATTCCTTCTTTTTCTGGTGATGGTTGTTACTTTCCTTTCTGTCACTAATTTCGTCGAAACACATAGCAAAGAAAAGCATTTTCATCTTCCCGGTGCCTACATCGTGGAATTTTCATCGAGCTTGACTCGTCAGCGAACAAATGATCACGTATGAATACGAAATAACGAATTCAAATCTCATTGTCTTTCATGTATTATAGCACGAATTGTTCTATCGAGAGATAACTACTAAAAATCCTGTAGTAACTCCTCGTTTGAATTTATCGTCTTCCCTCTTTACTGGTGCTTCTTTTCATCTAAAGAATCCTGCAGATATATCTGCTATTTCGTCACTCAGTTCTGTGGCTTCTATTTGGCCTGTCACCGTTTATCCTCGACCGGTTACTAGTGGTAAAAACATTGTTGATCTCTCTGAATTTGTTACTGAAACCGAGAATGCAGCTTACAAGAATGCCTTTGCTCCTCATGTGATGGGTGGTGTAGATAAGTTACATGCTCAAGGATTCAAAGGAGAAGGTGTCTTTATTGCCGTAGTGGATACCGGTGTTGACTACAGGTATGAATATAACCTACCTATACAGATATCAATGCCTACTCATTTAATTTGTTTTAGACATCCTGCATTAGGCAGAGGTTTCGGTTTGGGATATAAGATTCAATTCGGTTACGACTTCGTTGGTGATAACTACAACGGAAGTAACTCGTTTGTACCCGACCCAGATCCACTCGACTGCGGAGGACATGGTACTCACGTAAGTGGTATCGTCAGCGCCATAGCTCCTACGTTTACCGGCGTAGCTCCGAATGCAACTCTCGGTGTATATCGAGTTTTTGGATGCAGCGGTGGATCTAGCAATGATGTTGTTATTGCTGCCTTTAATGCAGCTTATCAAGCTGGTGGTGAGAATTTCAATATTTTTCTTTTCCCTTTTATGAAACTTTATCATCATCTTGCTCTAGCTCAAATTATTACTGCGTCTCTTGGAAGTCCTTCTGGATGGACTGAAGATCCGTTAGCAGTAGTTGTAGATAGAATTGTCGATGCTGGTGTTTCTTGTACTTTTTCTGCTGGTAACAATGGCAATGAAGGTAAAAAATGTAAAATCTTTGTTGAGAATATTATCACATTAACTTCAATTAGGATTATTCTTCGCTTCGACTGCAGCAAACGGCATTGATGTCACTGCTATTGGATCAGTTGATAGTATAATAACTCCTCAAATCATGTACGAAGGACAATTTACTATAAACTCTTCAGCTAATACAAATTTTCAATACCTTCCTGCAAATAATCCTTTTCCTAACAATATTTCTGGATATCCATTGTACGTTGTTGATCATAATATAACGAACCCGGCTGATGCTTGCACTGCGTTACCAGCTGATACACCAATATTATCTGAGAAAATTGTTCTTATTCGTCGAGGTAGTTGTACTTTTCTGAGTAAAATAGCTAATGTTCAAAAATTTGGTGCTCAATATATTATGATCTACAATAATGAAAATCCTATGGTCAAGCCACAGAGCCCAAGCGGAGTCTTCGCTGCCATGGTTTCAGCTGAACAAGGTGCTTACTGGATCAGTCGTCTTCAAGAAAGTCTAGTCATCAACTTTTACTTCTCCCCTAAGTCGATAACAACTACTATCAGTTCACCTAACAATATTACTGGCGGTACAATGAGTATTTTCTCGTCATGGTCTCCAACCAATGAACTAATCATTAAGCCAGAAGTTTCTGCCCCTGGTGGAAATATATTGTCGACTTATCCTCTTCATTTGGGCGGCTATGCTATACTGTCTGGTACATCTATGGCAGCACCTTATATTGCCGGTGTCATTGCCTTATACAAGAATGCAAAAGGTGCGCGAACACAGATCGATTCGTTTACTATCAGACATATTCTTGCCACTACGGCTACTCCTCTGTTTTTCAACGATGGAAAACAGACCTATCCTTACTTGGCTCCGGTTGTTCAGCAGGGTGGTGGTTTAGTTGATGCATTTGCCGCAGTACACTACACATCTATAATTAGTCCAAGTACTCTGACCTTGAATGATACTGGCTATTTCAAAAAGACAGTTAACTTCACCATTTCAAACACTGGCTCAACGGCTGTGTCGTATACACTTATTCACGTACGTCATTGCAAATCATACAGGGTGTCTCATAAGTTGTGGCAGATTTTTTTAAATCTAATTTTTGATGATAATGAATACAAATTAAACTCAAACTTATACATATGACACGGCTTAGCATGTACTTTTATTTCATATATTTTATTTGGATTAAATCATTGAATATACAAGAAAATAAACAAATTCAATGAACATACCCTCCATTGACAAATATCAAAAGTCTGCATTTTTTCGCTACTTTGTTAGTTTTTTCTCCAATTACTATTCCTATGGGAGTAAGTTTTTACAAAAGAAATCACACATTCTGATAGCACTTGAAATGCTCTATGATATTATGTATTAATACAGTGTCTTAAATTTAAGTAGCGAAAAAAAATGCAAATTTTTTGGGCTAGTCGATTCGGAGTATATTTATTGTATTCAATTTTATTTCAATCTATAAACGCAAGAAAATAAGTAAATAGACAGGGTGATAGAGAATTTTAAGCTCTATCAGAATCTATAGTTACTTTTTCATACAGATCATTCTATATGGATGAAAAATTTTTAAAACTAGTTTTGATGACGAAGGAAAGATCAAGTCTGGGAATCTGGACATGAGGGTGCCTTCGTTGTCTTCAATTTATTTTGGTAATGAAAAGGTCAAAACTAAAACCTAATTCTACAGAATGATAGAAAACTCCGCGAGCTTTCAGAATATGTAATTAGTTTTAAAATAACTTATTTTTATAGTGACAATATATGAGATATACAGAGTGAAACTTTTGTCGGGGTATATATATTGTAACACATTGATGGTGTGCTTATTTTGCACATGTACCAATTTCTTTATTTTTTTGTATATCCAATGATTAAATTCAAATAAAATATATGAAATAAAAGTACATGTTAAGTTGTATGATACGTGTAAGTTTGAGTTTGATTTGTATTCATTATCATCAAAAATTAGATTTAAAAAAATCTGCCACAACTTATGAGACACCCTGTATTATTTATCCTTTATCTAATCTATTCTAAATAAGCAGAAAGCAGCTGCTACTGCCTATACTTTGGGTATGAACACTACGTTGCCTCAAAGGTTTCCTCCTGAACTCATCACACAATATGCGAAAGTGATTATTTCACCTTACGTATTGACTATTCCTGGCAAGAGCACGGCTGTCATTAGAGTGACTTTTACTCCTCCTACGGGTCTCGAAGCCAAACGTATTCCAGTTTACTCTGGTTATATTTATATTCAGAATAGCAAAAAGGAAAATTTTCATTTGCCTTATGTTGGCGTCAGTTACGATATGAAACGTGTTACACTCACTGATTTTGAAAATCAATTTCCGTACATCTCGAATTCGTCCGATACCAGTGAAAATCCAAAACCTATTGGTGCCAATCAGACGTTCATTGTTAGCATTGACATGCCTACCATCAATTGGCGGCTCGTTATGAGTTCGCCGCTCGTACGAGTTGATATTCTCGGTAGTGGTAAACAGATCAATGTCGCTGGAATGAACATACTCGGTAGCATTCCTGACTATCCATTGTATTGGGTTTCTCGAAATTATTTTATTAAAACTAATGACAATTCTTTGTACTATAATGTGAGTTGGAATGGAACTCTCAACACGGGTATTCAAGTACCAGCTGGTAATTACAGATTCTTGTATCGTGCACTCAAAATTTTTGGGAATCAAGACAATAAGAAAGACTTCGAGACTTGGACAAGCCCGATGTTCAATATACAATATGAAACACATTAACGATTTCACTATATGGAAAACATCAAAATGAAATGAACGCGTGTTCAATATCGTCAATGAAAAAAAAACACATTTTCCCTCCTTTATCTTGCACATAGTGTTCAAATTTTCATTGTTCTGAGCCTGATAAGTCGGGTAGTTTTTTGCTTTTGCTTCTCATACTAGAAAAATAATTTAAATAAAGCAATCTATTTACCAAGTAATACCGTCCGACTTATGCATAGTGGACCTCAATTTTACTTGGATTATTTTTTTCAAAAGTCATTCTCGACGTCTCTTTCAAAATCTTTTGACAGTTTTCTCCCAGGCCAATGCAACAACTCATAGTCAGATATGAATTTCGACGAGATTCGATATTGACAATCAATTGACTTAAAATGAATATAGCACAACCTTCAGTCGACCATAAATCGTTTAGAAACAATTTAAATATGCATTAATCATTATAAAAATGTGAAAAAGAAATTTAGCTAGTCATTAATGTAATGTATTTTCTTGCTCATTTTTTTGTCGTAGTGAAAATTCTTCATGGAACGTCTAATTCTTGACGACTCCTTCCATCACCATGGCTAGAATATTAAAATCAAAAAAGGTGTAAGTGTAAGGTTGTCGATGTGCGTCTGCGTGCCCTTTCTATTAATGCCCACACCCACCCCACAAGTCTACGGTCATTGGATTTAGCTCTCTCCCTCGAGCCATACTTTGATTACATTACTGGAATAGTAAATTGATTTATATCACGGATCTATTGATTTATCCTATTCACATCATTTTGTATGCTTATTCAACAATACGTTCTTCTCTTCGGAAAAATATGTGTCTCATTCTACTGTAACCATAATAATATGGTAACGTGTCCTATTTTCCTTTCATTTTCATTCTAAATAAATTGACACAGCTCGTATTACCGTCAAAAATAAAGAAAAACCATGTGGTGGAACCCTTAAGCAAGGTTGACAGTGGTGATGACGTACTTCACTCATCGTCACTCCATCCCTACTCTGACAAGTATCTACTTCTTTATTTTCTTCTGTGGAATAGCGTGAGAGATCTGGATGAAGACGAAAACCGATTTCTTGACTATCTGTGAGAAGTTTTCGAAATTAAGGGGGGGACCCCTCTCAGAAAATCGATTTTTAGATAAGCACATATACTGAAAGTCCAAAGTGTCCTCTTTCAGATTATGTATGATTTATTGCATTTTAAAAGGTTTTGAATGGTGAAAATAGCGGTTTTCTGGGAGCACTGGTAGAAATATAAGGTTTTATCAGAAATTTTTTTAGTTAGGGAGATGAGGCAGTGGTCAACAAACTTGTAGATTTTGGTTAAAGAAAAACACATATACGTTCTGCTATATTAATTAATTAGAGGAGCGTAGACATTTCTGCTTAAAATCCTGTATACTTGATGAAATTGCCGTATAGAGGTCGTGACAGTCATAGTGAAATTAAAAATTGTTTCATACAAACTCATTGATTGGTTTTCTCAAATCACTTTTTTGAAGAGCTCGGAACCGATTTCTCAGACTGTAGAAGAGCTAGTGAGCCACTGTTTTTTTTAAATAAAAGAAGAGACCTATGTCTAGAAATGTATATAGCGTTTTTTTCGAAATTCGATATCTTTGCAGAGATAACTGGAAAACACTGATGTCAAAAAGCGCTATGTTCCGAGTTATTGCAGGAAAATGTCTTGCTAATTCGAACAAAATTGAATTTCGAAAAAAACGCTATATACATTTCTAGATTCAGGTCTTCTCTTTTATTTAAAACAAAAGGTAGCTCTCTACCTCTTCGACAGCCCGAGAAATCGGTACCTTAGGAAGACCACCATTTTGGGGACTAATTTGTCAATAACTCGTTAAAAAAAACTTTATGAGTCAAAAATTTGCAAGAAAATAAGTTAACACAACACACATATTGCCTGAAAATTTCAGCCAAATCGATCCACGAATAACGAAAAACGATTCCTGAGGGGAGCCTCCCCTTAAGCGAAATTTTATACAATTTTTGAAATCTAAGCGTTGCTGTAGAATAGATGTGTTTCTCTTGTTTATGAACTTGTTAATAAGTATCTAAACTATTCTTTAGTTGAAAATTTGCATTTACATTCAAGAAACTTAGAACAAAAATTGCTCAATGACCCATAGTTGTTTTGGGATTTGTTGGAAAAAATCTGGCGCATGATTTATTTATTTCAATAGGCAATCTGATTATGCTTGAAAAAAAAACTCAATTGTGCGTGAAATTCGCCTTGCAACAAAAATAATGTGACTCATTTGTAACTTAATCTTGTGATTCAATTGTGTAAATATCTATATTAAAAACTTGAAGTACGGATCAAGCAAAAATATGACGACTTCCCTTTGAATTATCTCTCAAGTTGATACTACCCATCGGCCACATGTATATAAAGAGCAGGATATCACATCGTTTTATTCATTCGACGTGTAATCAAAAATAAATATCAACGTAAAACAGATTATACTTTTAGTACTGCTCAGCTTTGGCATTACCAATGATGGCATGAATGCTGCTAGTGTTTTGCAGCCACAAATTAATGAACTTCTAGCTGAACTGTGATCAAAACAAATGGATCCTGTTCTCTTCTGAAATCTCGTTGCACTACAAGCCTGTGCAAATGATTATGATACATTGATAGCTATTACTTCCGATCAACCTGAACCCACCGCGACAAGTCGAGCGTTGGCCACTATTCATGGTACCATGTATGATTCTATGAATGCTTTCAATCGAGCTTACAGACCTCTGTTCTAACCTACCATAATGCTCAGTACAGAAGAAAGTCAAAAACAGTTTGCCATAGCAGCATCTATTATTGAAAGTGCCTATCAGATCGTATCTGCCTTGTATCCGAAACAGCGGCCAATCTTCGACGAGGTTCGTGACGCCTATTTGAAGATTATTAGAAGGAATACCACATTACATGCTGGAATTAATCAAGGAGTTACTACTGGTCAATTGATTGCATCATATATTTTAGAAATTCGAAGAATTGATAAAAGTGACGATAGAACAGTCTACACACCAACCAATCAGCCAGGCTATCATCGACCAGATCCAACTCATTCGAACCAGGGCTTTTTAGGTGTCACTTGGGAAAATGTCAAACCATTTCTTTTGAATTCAGGAACACAATTTCGTGCTTCAAATATTATTAATGAAACAGCTACTGCTTGTCTGGTATATTTGAGCTCAACTCGATATATTAATGATTTCAACGAAGTCAAATCATTCGAAGCAAGAGTGAGTACGAATTGAACTAGTGATCAAACCGAAATTGGTATCTTTTGGGACCTATGATGGCTCATCCGAATTGGATGTTCCTTCACGTCTCTACAATCAAATCGTTCGAGTGATCGCCATCCAAAAAAAAAAAATAATACAATGGAAGTAAATGCAGGATTGTTTGCTCTGGTCAATTACTCTATGGCTGATGCTGGTATCACGACATGGGATAGTAAACATTTCTACAACTTATGGCGTCCTATCGTTGGCATTCGACAAAGAGCATCCGGTAATTCGGCCGATCTTAATTGGCTACCATTGGAAGCACCAGAAAACGGTGCCAGTGATAGCTCCACTTCAGAATTTTCTTTCTATGTTTCTGGTCATGCAACCTTCGGTTTGGCTATTTTTGAAGTTCTTCGTCGCTTCTATGAAACAGATGATATTCCATTCGAATTTCAATCGGATGAATACAATGGCAAAACTATGGACTCAATTACACGACGGGCACGACCGGCTAGAACACGAAGATATAGATCGTTTACACAAGCAGAAACCGAAAACTTCTTGAGTCGAATCTATTTAGGTGTTCATTGGCGAATTGATTAAGAAGAAGGACAAAAAATGGGTCGAAATGTTGGATCATTTATCTACAGCAAAATGAGTTCATGAAAACTTTTTCTTGTCTAGAACATTTCATCTCAATATGACTGAATAGATTTTTTTTCGTGAATGATTGCGACAAGGAACCTTATCTTAGTCGCTATTTATTCGTGTAATAAATGAAAAAAATGATGAAAAATACAAAACAAATCGAAAACGAAGGAATATACATGAGAAGCGAAGACAATTGCCAAGTTTAAAATATATACTCAAACACACACATGCAAAGGAATACGTTTCAATTCGAGCATCAGATAGCTGAAGTTCTTCTCTGTTCTCCGTCTTTCATGACACAAGGCTCAATATTAACGAAGAACATTGTGACGAACGAGAAAGAAATAACAACACTCATATTGTAATCTCTACATAGGAGCTTACAAATAGTAAACAATATCCAATAACTTTTCCATCAGACAAAGAAAAGCTTAGTTTTGAAACGGCTATGGGTATTAAGAAAACAAGATCTACACTCACACCGCTTTTTAGATGATAGAGATGCCTGATCGGTAACAAAAGTTTATTCCTATTTTGAAGAAGAACGAAATGATTATTTTTGTTGTTCGTTTATTGAATCATTTTTACTCACTACTTTGTATGAGGGTGTATTAACTTCCGATCAAATAACTGATGAATCATTAGAAATATATATATATAGATAGGAATACGTATAAATTTCAAATCAGAGAGCATGTAAACTTTCTGAATTACTGTCAGCTAATGATCATTCTTTAAGATTTGCCTTTAAACTCCTAGATCAGCTATGTCTAAATAAAAATATTCAATTATGATAGTGGTTTCTAAAAAAAACAATACTTTTTTTTTCTTTACCTATTATTGCACACATAAACGAAAAGAACCATGTTTATATGTCAATATGTGTTCCATAAACTAATTTATCTAGTAAGCATGTAAATCAATAGATACTAACATCGTATTCAGTCAATATGAAATTGCTGTGCTTGATGAAAGCAACTGAAAGATACTCAAGGAAACAACATGAAAAACAAAGTGTATGATCGAGACTGACAATCAGTTAAAGTTGAACTTTATCCTTGCTTTGAAATATAGGAATTCGACGAAAAAAACAATCAGTGAATCATTTTCATGAAATTTTACCAATATTGTGCAGTCTGAAATTGATCTGTCTCTGTATCAAACCCGAGACTTGGACGGCTTTCAGTTAGAATATTCATATGTTACTGAGCAATGACTACTGAAGATCATGCTATAAATTAGCATGTTCCTCATTGTAGATAATAGATGCACCCAACTTGTTGGATGTTTAGAGATGCTCAAAAAATTCAAACTTTTTCCATCTCAAATGTCGCAAAGTAGACAATGTTTTCAGAGCATATGAACATGACTTATTTGCTTTGGAAATTGTATTTTTTAAATCGATCAAAAGGCAATAAAACAAAATTATTTTCAACAATAATTAAGTCTTCAAAATATATGGTTTCTTTAGTTGATATTTCTCTGAAACTAATATGCAAGATAATTTCGTATAAATCTCTTATTTATATTTAGAAAATCTTTTTACATTAGTAATTTCTATTTAAATTAAACTAAGACATCATCATTCATGTCTTTTCATCATCGCAGGCAATTTAAGATGATTCTTTTCCTTTTCTTTTCTGTCAGTTGTTAGCATAATATATACATAAGCTTATACGTTCATCCTCATGCGAAGCAGAACGAAAGAATGAGAAAATAGGAAAAAATAGATCGTTCATCGAAAGATAGAGGGAACGAAATATCCTTAGTCTTTCTGCTGAGGACTTGGGCATATCTCTCTCCGAGAAAATTAACTAATCCATATACTTCAAGAACTGAAGATACATATCTGTCATCGTAACAATGAAGTTAGTGAACGTTCAAACTCGTTATTTTATTATTCCGATACTGGTGATAAGCTTAAAGTATTGCCAATATCACTTACTATGGTCGACAGAATAAGTCAAAATGTTATTGATTTAATGAATAAGCAACGAAAGACGAAAGTTTTTGGTATTTGAATACATGATTAATAGAAAATATGTTGTCCTGCATTTCTCTACACAAATAGTACAACAACAGGAACAATTAATTACAGCGGTGAAATAAAAATTAATCATTCAGATACATGTAAAGCTCGAAATTTTGATCATTGTTCTTGTACATACTGTACACTGAAGAAAAACCTGTTCAATATTTTATTTAATAAAAAAATCAAACGAAATTCTCCGGTTAGTACCAACAAAGTATCAAAGGGCAAAGTAAGTAATCTTAGACTAATAAATCAGAACTATAATCATAATTTTGTGGTGATATTCATTTATTCAGTGATAATGAAAGGATGTCGATTACTGCTGAAATTGATCTCTTTCAACACTGATGTTTTTATGTGAAGCTGTTACAAAATGTGTTTGACATTGAGCTCTAATAGAGTAATTATATAGCACGTGTTTGTGCTGGTCATAATCTGATTGAAATATTTAACAGTCGTCTCGTATACCAGCAGCATTTTTCAAGCACTTCAAAATCGTATAAAAACAGTGAGCAAAAACACTGGCCAATCAAAGAGATAGAAAGGGCACTATTCTCGAGATATCAGTCTGATGCACTTAAGTGCATTTGAAATATTTTTACAAAGCTATTTTTGTGTCGAAACATTCACAACTGGCTCCTATCAGAGCTGGATAAAAAAAAACGAATTTCATGAATACTATGTCTTTATGTATTGTTAAGTCTTTGACTATTCAGAACTGTACCATCATTTTAGAATCGTAGACTTTGGTTCTGACGTTCAAAAATAACTTTATTAAAACACTCCACACCCGTACTCTAGTCTAGTCGCTCGTGAAATGAATAAAAAAAAGAGTGATTATTATCAGTAATCGAGTTGGCTACATATGTGATGTCCGTTGGCTATTTCAATCAAGTTGTAAAGAACACAACCGAACGTTACATAAGTAATTTTCTCAAGGCTCATTTGGATAGATTTTGTAATCATTTGGCATTTAAAAAATAAAATTTCTGAAAGAGGTCGGTTTCAACAGTAATCGACATCCTTCTTTTTAGGATTTCTATCAACAGTACAACATCATGCACACAAATATCACAACAATAATTGTTTACTCAACCTCAGGCTGAGGCAAATAATAATTGAATTATCTTAACTAATGGCCTCCTTACCTGCTTCTAAAGATTTTGTTGGAGTATGCGTTTTTTTCAAGTTTTGGATCCAAGATTTTGGTCGAAGACACATTTCGGTTTAAGTTTTGACAATATGCACTGTTCTTAGAGATATAAGATATTGACAACAATACATGTAAATTTCTGCTTCTTTTAATATCTTTCAACTTTGATATGACGAATTTTTTATATTTTCAGCCCGAATCTAATGCACTTCGAATATTGAATTCCAAATTGAAGTTGTAATTTAATAAATATCTCTCCATACGAAAAGTGAGAGGTTAAAATAAAGAAACCTCCTTATTCAATACATATATGAAATGTATTTAAGTAAATGTTCAGGTTCGTCTGACGAAGAGTATTATTCTTCAGCATTCATTGAAATTTCAACAATGTCAAACTCTCTTGATCATGGAAGCTATAACTTTTATATTACCGTATGATTTGACCGTGTTTGCCATACTTTTTAAACGTACAATCAACGATTGGTAAGCAACTCATACGTACCATATGTCTTTTTCCAAGAAAACTAACTTCTGAGAGATCTTTCTCAATTATATATGAAAAGAAACCAATGAAGTTCGCTTGTTGTGAAATAGACGTAATAAAAGCATCTCTCAATTAATTACTTGATTTCATAAAAAGTTGGAACTTTAATTGGTAAATTTACATCAAAATATACCTTGTTTTCAGGGTTTTGAGCTGAAATGTTTTAAAAGACCGCCGTCAGCATCACTTTTGAACTTATAAAATCCTCAAAATATTTTTCCAACTCCTTAAAATTGTTCCGGTTTTCACAAAAATCTTTTTAACTAAAAGCTATGGAAATAAATGGAACACAATAGAAACTTCTGCTCTTTCTGAAAACTTTATATACTTGAACATGATAGAAGATCTAGGGTCTTCTATCGTTAAGAGGAATTTACCTTGTTTTTGGTTGACGTCGATTCTTTCATACATAACAGATTCAAGCTTTTTTCTAACGAAAGATATTGTTGAACCTGCAAAGCAACTATACATTCATATTTGATCATATTAACACTTAGCTTAAGACTTAAAAGTATATTGATCTTCTCATAGCGACAAAAAAAACTGGGAAAAAACAAATTTTATTCCGATTTTCGCTGATTTCTTTATATTGACGATTAGAATCATCGTGAAGCTTCAATATAATATAGTCGTATTCGAAAGAGCCAAACAGCAAGTTTCGAATTCCTGCAGCAATGAAAGTGTCAAAAGTTATGGAAAATACTACAAAAAAAATATGTAATTGCCAAGAACTTTCTGGTAATATCAACATAAGTCGACAAGCCACTAAGGTATCGGCACTTTCATAGAATATGTACGTGCTACGAGAGACTGTTGTGATTAGCTAGAGATTTTCTTAAGGATCGGGCAAGATAAGAATTCAAATTTGCCATTCCCTTAAACTGTTTTAAAATATATACTGTATGAAAGAGCATGTGATCCTGCATATTTTACCATAATGAATTGGATTTTCATCATTGACGATAAACTGATATGACTCATGGATTGGTCTACTACAGGTAAAGGTATAGTTAAAGATTGGAGTGAACGAATTTTGTCTTTTCCATAAATATGTTTGACACAAAAAACTGCAATTCAATGCGTTGTTTTTCTATCTAAAATGCATAAAGACACTTTATAGAGCAAAGAAAAGTTCATCTAATCATTGTATTTTATGTCAAAAATATGTATCGAGAAAAAAACTTTGTTCACTCTAATCCTTAACTATACATGTAAACCGATCA